CAAAATTCCGTAAAACGGTCATAACTCTTCACAGATAGACCATGGGCACGAATCCTTTTAGGGTTTTCTTAGTCTCATAGAGACCTACCTTATAGCCATAATATGGAATCGAACGGCGTCCGTCGGTTGGGGACCTTCCCTCGTGAGTATATGCCCGAAAGTTTTGCAGCGACCAAATTCCAGAGAAGTGTCATTTTACGTATCTCAAGTTCTGCCTGTGGATGCCACGTAAATTCAAGACCCACATACGTACGTTAGCGTAAGTGTGACGAACTTTTCATTGGACTTGAGATAAATTAAACCTTTTCTGTAGATTTAAGAGCTCTCTATCAGTGTTGGATTCTAACTAGGTATTTCTATTCAATGTTTTCGATGTTTCTCACAGCCTATTCGTATGAAAAGTAAAAAAGAAGGAAAAGAAGGATTTTAGGAGAAAAGAAGGACGAAGAAGGACGATCTAAAAAAGGAAGGAAAAAAGAAGGAAAGAAGGAGCTCTGCGAGGCCTGCATTTGCTTTTATCATCAATTTCACGTACAAAGCCTTTTTTACAAACGCATCCTGGAACACATTGAAGTGTGCAAAATGTTGGTGTATGAGTACAATTTTCTTGACAAGCACTACCACATTCATTGTACTCTTCATTATCAGGACACTCAATTTCTAGATGAATAACAAATAAATGCGGAAACTTCGGATTTAAATCCAAGAGTTATGTGTACTTCAAAAAGTGAATCATACGAATCAGTCATCCTAGAATGTCTGAACATCAAAATTATACTGGAAAAACTAGCATTGCAAATGTTGATTTTCATTACGCGTTGCCAAACCATTTGGACTTGGGATCGAACAGCTCAAGTTTGAACTCTTTCCCTTGATTTATCCTAAAACAGTCATTTTTCCTATTACTTCATTTCTATTGGCCACTGCACAACCAATAGTATTACGTTGGAAGTGCAGTACACATTCGAGTTCTCCATCTCTGAAGACCTGGAAACATCATCACTGTGATCGGGAGATAGAGCGCTATTTGTGGATCAATTAGATCGTGAACCAAAATATAGCCCAGTTCTCTTTAATTATTCTTGTGATAGGTGAGTCAACCTTCTTATTTCTTTATGTTTTATATATCATTTTGTAGCTCTTGAAATTGTCTATCGAATGGTATAGAATAGTTGGGATTTTAATTGACTATGATAGGAAAAGTCTTTTACGAAAGCCGCGATGGGTCTATTTTTCCACAGAAAGCTATAGGTAAAAATGGGCATTTTTGCAATAACTCAGGAACGGCTCGGTCGATCCTTCTCACCTTCAAACTCGACCGAGATATTGTCAAGACTAAGCTTTGTAGAAAGTTTCATCGCAATCTGACTCTGTTGTCAAAAGTTATCATGTGAACAGCCAACCGGACGCACGGACACACTGACTATTCTATAGTGTACTCACTTTTCTAGTACACAAAACTATGATTCGGTTCAAAACAAATATCAGATTCAGAATCAGCGTTAAAAACTGAGTCGATTTATGCATTTTGTGAATAATTATGGGCAAAAATTTTTTTCGAAAAATCCCCGTACCCCCCCTCCTCAGGGATGGTCTGGTCAAAAATCACAATTTTTTCGATAACTCAGTCATTTCTTGACGGATCCTTCTCATCTTCGAACTCAACCGAGATATTTTCAAGACTAAGCTGTGTAGAAAACTTCATCAAGATCTGACTTCCCTTTCGAAAGTTATCGTGTATACGGACGGACGGCCGGACACACTGACCGATTCTAGAGTGTACTCACTTTTTGAGTACACAAAAAAGAGAATATATATGTAACAAAGAAACAATAAAATATTTGTTATTTGTCGTACCAGTAGCATTGGTCTTAATAAACAATAGTGCGAACGCCAATATAAAACTAATTCGAATAATGATAATCATATTTCCTTTTGATTATCATTAATCAATTGAATATATATATATATATGTGTGGTGTTTTAGACTATTCATGAGTAGTAATCCTTAGATATATTAATACATCTATATCCTCCTACCATGTACATAAAGCAAGTAGGAATGTCACGATGAAAGTTTGATGTTATTGATGAATAATAAGGCAAAGAGTAGTGAAAGAGAACCTACCATTTAGATGCGTAAGAAGTAATCCACTTCGATTATCATATTCATCATTGTGGGAGTAATTGTGG